GAAGAGGAAAACAATACAGAGACGTGCACAAACAAACGACAAACAAATAGCTGCTGAATTTTACAAGAGAGAGAGAGAGAGAGAGAAGAGAGAGAGAGATTTAACACACAATGCTGGAAGTGTACGCAGCCATACGCTACAACCAGCACTGCGCAAGATGGTTGGATTGTTCTGATGCCACGTCAGGAGCAGCCCATTGCCAGTGCATCGATAGGTCAGGTGCACAAGGTAGCGTTCTTTTCTGCGGTTGCCCGTTGCCGATTGCATTTGCCTCCCAGTTTGCCAGGCCACCTTGCGGGATGGGCGGCTTGTGGCAGTGAAGGTGCAACACAGACACGCTGCAAGGCAGATTCCTATAGAAACTTGAATGGCAGGTAGTAGGCATGACAAGGATGTTTCTGATAAGATAAACTCGATCTTGAACCAGAACGATTGTGCCCCCTATGTGAGCAAGTCCATGCTTTTTGAGGGCATTGCTTTCTTTTCTTGGTTTCGGGGGCTGCGAGCAGCAAGGATGTCGCCTACATGCGGCTACTCGCCAGATTTGCTTGGGTGCTAACTCTGGGAGAAGTAGATTTGATGCCTGTCGTCCAGCACTCAGTTGCTCCCTTCAGATATTTCGTTGAGACTTTTGAGTCCAAAGATGGCACAGCAGCTAGGCACCAGGCTAGTCAGAAGCTGGAGGATGGTTCTATTATGTTCTATTCTATTCCTTCCCGGTTGTTAGTTTTAAGCAACTCTTTGCGAACAACCAGGTCACAGAGTGGCTAGGGGCAGTCCTCGAAGAGCTAGACTTTCAAAATGAAGCCAAAAACCAGTGCCGTGGCAAGCCTTGTCGATTCCACTGGAGATCTCCAATCGTACAATTCACCAACAAAGCTCATCTAGCTGAAGGTCGAATATATCATGTTTGGTTCAGAAATGGTTTGCCGAGAATGTGTGTAGAGATGAGACACAACAAGGACTACACTGTTGCCAATACAAGGCCAAGTATACAAGTGGTAGCGGCGTTTGCGGTTTCAACCAATGTCCCCGCAAAACGGAGCAGAGAATTTTCTTCTGGTAGACTAGAAAGGGCTTGCGTATCATTCGCCTCGCTTCGTGCCAAGAACGAACTCAGATCCCGCTTGTTTCATCACTGGTGACATTGCTGAGATTTGTGAAATTTGTATTTATCAAGCACTGAGGATACGTGGTCGAACAGAGCTGCTGGAAGCAAATGTGGACATGGCTGCGCGGCAGAAGTACTTCTAACTTATACTCGACTGATTTGGCTATCTTGATCTGTCTAAGACCGACTCCGCAGGTAGGTGACAAGGGCTCCAATCTCCGGGCAAATCACACGTGCGTCTTTTCGGACTTCGCCAGGCATATTGTACAATGTATGATAATATATCTCTATCTGTCTGCCTATCTGCCTGTCTGCCTGTCTGCCTATCTGCCTATCTGCCTATCTGCCTGTCTGCCTATCTGCCTATCTGCCTGTCTGCCT